CGTTCGTGCATCCGTGCGTGCTTGCGTACGTACGTTCGTGCATCCGTGCGTGCTTGTGTACGTACGTTCGTGCATCCGTGCGTGCGTGCGTGCGTGCGTGCGTGCGTGCGTGCGTGCGTGCGTGCGTGCGTGCGTGTGATGACAAGACGGTAGCTGACGGCGGTGCTTCTGCCTATTGCAGCGAAAGGAGGAGATCAATGAGCGTATAGCCGGTGAGTTCGGCCTTGCCGGACCACCGCAGGTCAACATCTGCCCTCCCTCACCGCAGAACAACGAGGATAGGAAGGGCACGGGAGGAAGCACCAACTTCAGCTTGTAAGAACGAACGAGAGTCGACTTATATCTTCATAGCGTGATTGACAGTCGTAGTCTAGACAGCGGTCAACACAGACTCTAGACAACCGTAATCGCGAACGGACGTTCTAAAAGACAATGGTTATCAACGAAGTACAGCAAAGTCGATATTTTGGCGCGCACGCTGGTCTACATTGACCTTGCAACAATATATATGCTACTAGAGTGGAGGTGTAGTTATCTCGATCTAGGTCGATTCGCAGTTCGATGCGCCTAACTTTTTGAACTCATTCTTGGTCTCTCACTCTCTCGGAGGGCAGGAGGAGGGGGTCGAGAGTGCTAACTCGGCAGCAGTGCGTGCGGCCCATCGATTGAAATGATGCGTAAAACATGCGAGGGAAATTGCGAGGAAGTGAAATTATTATTGCGTGCAATCGATTGATAGCGAGTTAAGTAATTCTGCAATAATAGACACTCACGCGTACCTTGCATTACGAAACACCTGATAGCACCAAACAACGCACACGCGCGCTTCGCAATAACACAGAAAGTAGCTTTCTTTAATAACATAATTTATTATAATAATATTAAAATAATAAATATAATTACACTAAAATAGTATATAATTTATATTAGTGCATGAGAATAGCATGCATGATATCGTGGGTAAATTTTGGCATTTCCTCCATTAAAATAACATGAGCATCTCTCCCTTGTTTCAGTGATAAGAAGGACAACGCGTGGAAGGACAACAGAGACAAGCCCGTTGCCATCTCGATGGAGGAGGAGAAAAAGAAGCTGAATACGGATAGCGAGCCACATAGGGATGTAGATCTCTCCGACTCTGGTACGATTCTGCTTCGGTTGTAAGCGTCGGCTGTGTGTTTGTTCTTTTGGATCCATATGTGCAGCATAGAACCTTCGCAACTATACTTTGCCTTCGCCATGCAACACGTCGCCACCTATACTGTGGGTAACTATTCGCTGTTATGCGGGTAAGGTGGTTAGCCTCACGCCAGCGAGATAAACCCACCTCTACAGCAAGTGTCGGCTAGACAGTCGGGAGGAGGAGGGGGAGGAGGTGGTGCCTTCTTGCTAAAATGCACAACAATAGCACCCGGCGTGAGAGTGTCAGTGCTGTGTTTCCTCTAAGAGCGTAATGAGGGGAGGCTGCAACATCGCACATATCGCGAGTGTGTTTCTGTGTTTCTCTCTCTGTGTGTGTGTGTGTGTGTGTGTGTGTGTGTGTGTGTGTGTGTGTGTGTGT